TTAGAGCTATAAGAGCTTTTTATACTAATAATAAATTTAAGTCTCCCTATAGGTAATCTTAAGCTTTTTCTCTAGTTATTACTCTTTTTTTACTAATATAGTAAGTCTATAAGATAAGCTATAGCTTCTTAGGGTGTTTTCTTCTATAAGTAAAGAGGGTAAAAGATAACTAGTTAAGTTAGTTATAGCTTAAGTACTACTACTACTATACTTAGGTATAGTTACCTCTTAGGTTATATAATAGGTATTTATAAGTATATTACTTATTAGGCTAGTTATCTAGGTAAAGCTTTTAGACTATTAAATAGTAATAAGTAACTAAGGTAATAAGTAAATATACTATAAGTGTAAAGGTAGGTATATAGTATTACTAAAGCTAAAAGCTACTTCTTTTTTTTTTTTTCTTTTTTCCTTTAAGTATTCTTAGTGTGTGTACACTTACTTTACTTCTGTGCGCCCTCTAAGTATATAATCCTCTTGTGTGCCCTATGTACTTACGCTATACACCTTGCTTATTTAGTGTTATATAATACTTAACCTACGCTTAGCCTATTTAGCCTATCTATTCTTAATAAAATACTACTATTAGCTTAGCCTTTTAGCTAATATAAAAAGATATATTTAAAACTACTATATATACTACTATAGCTAAAAGCTATAAAATAAACCTCTTAAAGAACTTTATTTTTTACTTATCTTATACTACTTTTAGTAATATATTACTACTAACTTTATATTTTATCTAGAAAATAAAAAAGGCTATAATAACCTTTAAGTAGTAGTTAACTACTTAAATAAATAAGCTATATTTATTTTTTACTTTAAGATAACTACTATAAAAGATATAGTATATATATTTTATAAAAAAGTCTTTTTAATTTTTAGTCTACTTAAAACTATTATCTTAGACTAAGGTCTTTAATTTATATTAGACTTTTAAAATAAGCTTTACTATATCTATAGTATTAAAATAAAGCTATTTACTATAAACTACTCTTAGACTAATAAATAAACTAAGGTTCTAAACTAATATATTATATAATAACTTTACCTCTTTATTAATTACTACTAAAATAACTAAAGTAATATAGCTTTAGTAGTAGACTTTACTTATATTGCTTTTCTTAGTAAGACTACTAGTTTATTTCTTTATAAAGTTAAATTTAAGAGACTCCTAAGGTTAAGTTTTAATTAAGATAACTATACCTAGAAGTATAATAGTACTAAGAAAAAGCTTAATAAAACTAATACTTAGTACTAGGCCTAGAAGATCTATAAGTACTAGTAAATAGCTAAAAAGAATATAAAAATTACTTAAGAATAGTATTATTATTATACTAACTAGTATAAATAACCTAATAACCTTTAAGTTAGTAATAAAGTTTTTATTAATATAACTTACTAAAAATATAATAACCTTAATAAGCTTTAGAACTTATAAGTAAGTCCTTAGCTTATTATAGTAGCTAAATTAAAAGAAACCTAGAAAGTCTAGTTACTTAAAGGTATTAAGGCTTATTTAGTGTTTTACCTAAGTAAGCTTAAAAAAGCCTTTAATAACCTTTTCTCTAGATAATAATAAGAACTATTTTTCTTTATAATATTTAAGTTTAATAATAAACCTAAGTATAAAGTATTATAAGTACTAAAGTCTAAAATAAACTATAGAAGACTTTAGTACTAGGTTAATTAGTTAGGTTATAATAAAGATTTAACTTAATATAATACTAAAGGCTTTTACTATTTACTAATAGTACTATAGAGATTTTATAAAGAATACTTAATAGCTATTAGACTTTTAGTTAATCTACCTTAATAGTTATAGGCTATAGTAGAGGACACTAAAGTACTCTTTTACCTTAATAATAATAAAGTTACTTAATAGACTATTAACTTACTACTACCTTATAGGCTAACTAATACTTTTTAAGCCTTAACTTTACTTTACTAGCTTTTACTTTAAAAAAATATTTCCTAAAAAAAAGATTTATATAAGAAAATAAAAAAAATTAACTTATAAAAAAAAGGTTATTTCTAGGGCTAGTTAATAAATTTTAATATTATAGATAATATTACTAGTAAAAAAAAAGGTAATATTATAAAGTAACTAGGACTATAGGCTATAATAGCTATACTAGGTGTAGCTAATAAGCTATAAAGACTACTAGGGCTAAGCATAGACTACTAGAGGTTATATAACTAAAAAAAGGTTTATAAAGGGATTTAAAGGCAAGGCTATAGAGGTAGACCTTACTATAGTTTTCTTTTCCTCTTTATCTTAGAATCTTTATTCTAGGTAATATAGTTATAAGTTATTTAACCTTAGTTATTACTACTATAATAATAGTACTAGTAATAAAGTAACTAATAAAGTAATAAGTAAATAATAATAAGGTTAAATTAAAAATAGCTACTAGTAAAAAGGTAGTTAATACTACTACTAGGTATATAAGTTAACTTCTTTACTACTAAAGAATAAATTAACTACTATATTACTAGTAAAGTTATTTATAGTAGGTAGTAAAGGTCTACTAGTAAGATTTATATCTTTTTTAACTACTACTATAGAGAGTAAATTACTTATAATTTTACTTTATATAGGTATCTTGTTTTTTATTTACTACTAAGTAACTATAACTACTAGGCCTAGTAATAAAGTTTTTAAAGTTATCTTATAATAAAGTATTATATTTTATTAACCTTTAAGATTACTAGTAAGTAACTTATAGTAGACTTTATTAATAACTAAATATTAGTTAGTATTATTATTTACTTTATTATTATTATAGTAACTTACTTAATTTATATACTAATAATACTTTATTAAATCTTACTATAGGTCTTTCTTTATATTTTTCTCTTAGTTAATTTTATTCCTTATTAAACTTATTACTGTTTTTTTTATTAATTTTATATATAATAGCTAGCTACTATAGTTAGGTTACTTACTATAGTTAAGTTACTTACTATAGTTAAAATACTTACTATAGTTAAAGTGCTTACTATAGTTAAAGTGCTTACTATAGTTAAGTTACTTACTTATTAACTTTATAACTAATTATAGTATACTAAATACTAATATAGATAAACTAGTAAAGTATATAAGCTTTATACTAAAGAAGATATCTTAAGTCTAGTAGCCTAGGTTACTTAGTTAAAAGCTAAGTTTAGCCTATAGTAAGGCTAGCTATTTACTACTTACTTTACTAAAGTTATTACTATAATAAGTATTATTCTTTACCCTTATAGTTTTTTTTTTTACTAAACTTAATAGTTATTTATAACTTTAATAGTAAGTATTACTTACTAAGTTACCTTTAAAAGTACTTTTTTATCTCCTTTAAGATTTACTTTTTTTACTTTAACCTAATTATTATACTTACTAATACTTAACTTATTAACTACTATACTATTTAAAAAGGCTAGACTTATAGTACTATAATACTATTAAACTAGAGGCTAAAGGTAAAATAGATTATTACCTTAGTTAGTAATAGTAGTAGTAAAAGGGTAGCTATAGTAGTAGTTACTCTTTATTACTATTATAATAGTAATAAAGTTTATAATAGTGTTTTAAAAAGGTTAAAAGTAAAAAGTACTTATTATATAGGCTTTTTATTATTATTAGTAAGCTTACTACTATTACTATTATTATTATTATTATTATTATTATTATTATTATTATTATTAACCTTTTTTTTATTAATAGTTACTTTTACTAACTTTTTTAGTATCTTAAAGGTTATTATTAATTTCTTTATTACTACTATAGTAACTACTAGCTTTTATAGTGTTTTAATAACTATTATTAACCTTATTACTACTACTATAGGGCACTTAATAACTATATATAATAATAATTCTTTATAAGTAGCCTTATAGGCTTAAGTACTATTAGCTAGTAGTATTAGTAATACCTTTATACTACTAGAGGTAGTATTCTTCTTCTTCTTTAGCGCTATTATTAAATAGTAATAATAATAAGCTTATTAATTAAAGCTATTTATACTATAGTATTTATATAATATAAAATAATTTAAAAGTATATAGCTACTTAGTAAAGTAACCTCCCTATATAACCTTAACTAAGGTAGTTATTATAATAGTATTACTAACGTATAGACTAAAAAGTAGGTTTTAGATACTACTAATATAATAGACTATAGCTAGATAAAGTATATTTTAATAAGTTATAAGGCTATTCTTAATTCTCTATAGTTATCTATAGCCTAATTTAAGCTAACTAGAAAAGACTAGGACTATTGTTTACATAAGCTTATTATATCTATATCTTTATTAAGTCTTATTAGGATAAATAAGTAATTTTAGAAACCTAAGCGCTTTACTTTATACTTCTACTTTATATGTCTTGTTAACGTGCTAGTTGAATTTTACTAAGAGATAAACTGCTATTACACACGCGCGCGCACGCTCACACACACATACACAGGGGGGTATGAGGGGCAAAACAATCAAAATGCGACCAAGCTGGGACTCGAACCCAGAACCTCCACCACCGGAAAGTGAAGCGCTGCCATTGCGCCACCCGGCCGTTGTTGGTTGTTGATGTCCAGCTCAAACAAGTCGTTCTAACATTGCTCAGAGATGCAAAAGACGCAGGCTATTCAAAAACAATCGGCGCCCGGAAGGGTACCCGGATCGCGTTAACGTAGGACTGAGTGACGCGCCAAAAGGGTAAGTAAGGGAAGGTAAATTGGAATAATCGTCACAATCGACCCCCTAACTACACCCGCTGTTGCCTCCTTTACTGTGTACAATTGTAGCCTCTGACATATACCTCCTCTATCCCTCTCCATCTAATAAAAAAAGACAAGAAGAATAGAGAAGAGACTCCTTTACAATGGTTTTGGCTCGCTGGTGTTGGCTTATATTCTTCATGCCTGAAGTGACTACAATCTACATACACAATTGCTTCGACAGTCATTGATCGACGTTCAAAGTTTATTCTAAGTGGCCTAACTGGGTGACGAGGGTCCGAGGGCAGACATGCCTGTCGCATCTAATGCAACACAACAAGAGTATATTAACCAAAGACACACAATCAGGAGCGGCAATCGAAAATGTAGTAATCAAAAGAATTACTTTTGAGGAATCTGCAAATTTCCTTCATTGCCTACAAGTGCATGACTCATGTGACGCATGCAACTGTACTGCCATGCGGCCAACCGTACTAGGCCCTTGGGTATATTAATACAATGACGCCGTCATCCTCGATGTTCGCTAACCCAGAGTACGACGATGCATCCAACAACGATCTACGATCACTCGTCATCGTCGTTCAGACCGAAGTCATCATCGTCTTCATCCTCCTCTTCCATCCCCTGATCATCCTCGTCGTACATGTGGGACTCGTCACCCATGTCGTCGTAGTCGTCTCCACCGCCAAACTCATCATCCTGGTGTTCGTATTCTTCACCCTCAAGAGGTTCAATCTCCTCCTCTTCCTCCTCCTCCTCATGGATGGTCTCGTCAATCACACTAGGCGCCTTGCTGGTCGGACGGCTAGCAGCTTCACTCTCCGGCCGAGATCCCGGGTCACCCTTGTCCGGCACGTCGAACATTTGCCTGATAGCGTCGTAGTTGATGCGTTTCGAGAAGCCTCTCTCCTTCATGACGTTGACTGCTGCCTCGCCGGGTGTACTAGCAGGAGTCGTCTGGCCCTCACCAATGCGTGGTCGCTTCTTCCGTTTGCGGTCCTTTTTGGGTTTCTTCTCTTCGAGCTTCTTTCTGAATAGGCGTTCTTGCGACTGACGCAGCCAGTCTTTGTTCTCGTTGACCCACAGCAACTCCTTGATTTTGATCTCCTCGGGCGTCAACATGCAGTTCAACACCTCGGGATCATCGGCAAACTCGTCTTCGCCGACCTCTGGTGCCATCGATACAGCCTTGTTGGGCTGCTGCTGAAGCGCCCAGATGGAGTGGATGCGGGCACGCTGCTCAGCGTTACTGAAAGCTTTGGCATGCTCGTATGTCTCCGGGTCGTTCATAATCTCCGATATCTGCTCCTCCATCTGGGCCTCGTCCTCCTCCCACTCATTGTCGATGGGCAAGGAAGGCTTAGGTTGACGTCCATTCTTATTGGCGGCATCCTGTCGTGACGCTTCATCGCTTTGTTTCTCGGCATCACCAAACTCTTCCGCCAAGCCTTCGAGATGCTGAGTGCTGTTTGTGTCTCGCAGAGCCGGCTCGTCCTGAGCAATCTGGGAAGGGAGGGGGGGAATAATGAAGCCGTCCTTGTCTCGGCGGTATTCAACGGCGGGAGCCGTAGATAAGTCGGGAGGGGGGAGTGAAGGTGCCGGCGCGGTTCTGGTATTTTGGCCTTCATCTGTGGCCTTGCGCTTGCGCTTCTTGCCCAGCTCCTCCTGCTGCTTCTGCCAAGCCTCTGTGCCTTTGTAGAATGAAGGCGGGTCGTGCGAACTGGAACTGAAGTCCTGTGACAGAAAGTCCTCCACCGTCATCTTACTGGCCTCAGTGACGTTGAACTCCTGCAGACGTTCTTGTATAGTGTGGGTCGTGACCTTGACAACATAGACGACTTCTCTGGTCGTACGCCTAAAGTTGTGCATTCTGGCGGCTATGAGTAAACAAGCACCACAGATACCGGATGGACGACGGCCCATGACGATCCAGTCCTGCTTCATGCGATGAACGAGACGGACAGCATCTTCAGCAACCCTATTAGTCATGTGCTTAAACTCGAGCTTGGAGGCGAGCCGGAAAAGAATATCCTCGGGAAATACCGGGGCCTCTCCGTTGCCAAAGATGTACACGACCCTGTTCAGAGCCTTGAAGGCTCGGCCAAGCTTGAAGACATTGATCTGCGTGAGGTCCGCAAGATCGATAAGCATGATCTTGCAAGGTCGCTCGGTGCGGCAAGCAGTGTAAAGGCAGACGGCGGCAACCATGACGAGGGTGCGACCTTGAACAAAGTTGGCCTGAGATGCGAGCTTGAAGACCTGAACGGCGGTGTTGACAGTATTGTCGCTCAGGTTGAGCCTCTGGGCGTACCCCTGCATCAAGGAGCGAGCCTCGCGGATGGACTTCTCTCGGTCGTCGGAGCCACCAACGCGGCGGAACGCAGGGCCCATTGTCCGCACGCCGGCCTGGTCAGCGGCGATGTAGCTTCCCTGTACCATGGCAGCACCCGAAGAGGTCTCCCCGAACTGTACTTCGGCGACGATGTTGCTGTCGTCAGCGACTCGACCGCAGGTCTGGCACACGCCGTCGACGACATTGGGCTTGATACAGGTTTTGTTCGGGCATTGTGGGCGGTTCGAGACGGCGACGGTCGGTGCTCTGGAGCGGTTCAGCTGTGCTTGGGCGACAGCGCTGGCGGCGGCAGCAGCGGCGTTTGCCTGTTGGCGTTCGGCTTGTTCACGAATGGCCCGAATACGGTTGGGGGGTTGGAACGGCTTCGATTTGCCCACCGTCGGCTTCTGGGATTTCTTCGTGGGTGTGAGGAAGGACGACATCGTGACCGTGTTATAATCCCTCGTAGGCAGGGCAGCCGGGTGTCAATGCTTTTTTTTTTGTTCTTTTTCTTTTCTATTCTGATTTCTTCTCCAAAGAGCTTTTGAAGGGCAGCAAAGGTGCTGCAAAAATGAAACCAGAAAAATACGCGGGGCCCTGGTTGATGGGACATACAGAGGCGTAGATGGTCTTGAAGCCCCTCCCTTTTCTCCGGCACCAAGCAGAAAGCGCAGGCTGTCTGCTTGCTTGCACCTTGGACGACGGAGGCCAATTGTATGGGGAACGCGGCCTGTTGCGTGGGATCTTGCGCGTTGAATGACGCGGATAACGGTGAGGGCGTCGACGAATGGAGTGTAAGTGAATTGAAGACGACCCTGGGCGCTGTTGGTGGGATGTCTGGAGGGATACTGGTGGTGGGCGGAACGAAGAGAGAAATGAAAAAACTAGTGGGGTCGGCGACGAGATGGTCGAGCGGGAGAAGGTGCGAGGAACCAAGAGGACCGTTATGGGTACCGGATGCTGCTGAGTCACGTCTTTGATGACCTCGCTTCCCAAAAAGGAAATCCCCATTTCTCTCCCAGTCTGCCAGAGCCACTGGTTCGAGTCTACCTTGGTTCATGCTGCGAAACTGCGCAAATTTCTTTCACATCTATCCGTACTTACAATATAAATTTTGGGTTCTGTCCATTTAAAACAACAACATTCCTATTTCTTTTCCCCCTCTCCAATTCGTCACCCTTACCACGATGCAGTCGATGTGTCAAGAACTCCCCACCATGCTGCTGGGGCCACTGCCGTATTGGGAACTAGTCAGCGCAACCATATCGCTGCGCCGCTGTGGAGAGGTCACCTTCGATATCTCCCCCACGACACTAAAGTCTAGTAGTAAGTTCTCGCCCGGTGAAAGCTGCCCCAATCACTGATCGCCTGCCCGGGAACACCGCATGTATCCCTCGAAATGAACATGCCAACCCGGTGGGAGTCACGCATTCACACATAGCATTTCCGACTGAGACCTCGTTGTCACTGTCGCGAGCCAGATCGTGCAAATTAACATAATGCATGCTACAGTTCCCCCAAAAGCGACAAACCACATTGTCTCTTAGTTCCTTTTCATGGGCGGATTCTCGGCCTATTGGACCACTCCAAGTGCCCAGTCCAGAGGAACCCTGCATGTTTCCTTGCTCTAGCGACTAATACATCGTGGTGTTCGTCGAGTGCGTGCGGGGCAGCCCGCGTCAACCTGGCTCACACCATGCATACTGCATACATGGTTGTTCTAGCAAGTAGCCACGCAGTTGCTTGTGATTTGACCTATTTAAATCTCGACGTTCGCACCTTGAATGCCATACTAGGTCACCGACTACGATTCAACCTCTCACTCTCACTTCACTTTTTCTCGTCTATCATGTCTTCCGAGGCCTTCACCCTTTCAGCCCCTCCCGGTACAGACGTTTGGAAGAAGCCCCCTTCTCACAATGTCTACAATGGTAACATTGACCCAATGAGGCTTGCAGAAACATATAACTGCTAACGACCCCAGCCCCGACCAAGGCCGTTCCAACCAAGTCACTCAGTCAATTCAAATCCGCTCAGATCACCTTCTCTGCTGATTGGTCGGAGCAATACGACCAAGCGGGCCTGATTCTCACATTTGACTCTCTCTCCGGTCGTGAGCGAAGGTGGATCAAGACTGGTCTGGAGTATTACGACGGCACCCCACAGATCAGCACCGTATCCTGCCATACCTGGGCCGACTGGAGCATTGTCCCTCTCGCCGCTTTCGAAGATACCAAGTCCGTCACCGTCCTTGTCGAGAAGGCTCAGGACAACCTCGGCCTGAGTCTCTGGATATACTATGTGAACCCAGATGGCACCAAGGCGCCGATGCGTGAGGTTTGCTGGGTGTATGGAGACGACGACGCGTCAGGCAAGGACTGGAACTTGACGGTCGGTGCTCTGGTGGCCCGGCCAGAGAAGGATGCAAAGAGTGATCTTGAAGTCCATTTCAAGGACTTCGAGGTACAGTGGCAGTGATATACTTTATTGATGTTGTGGTGCTGTATTCATTTTGCGGTAACAGTTTCTCGAATCCGTCTAAGTCTCAATCTCTGTCTCAATCCACCAGAAGCCACTCTCTTGCCGTCCATTGCCTTCACCATCTTCAGAGTCAGTGATCTGTAAAACAGTTACAAGGCTTTTTCTGCTCATTTGACAATCATTTTGGGGTCAAGCGTTGCCTGAAGGGTCAATATTTGGTTGTCTTCTGGTTTCCTGCCTCTTGCGAGGCAGAAAATCAGGTCTTGTGAGTTGCATGACATAGCCATCTTCGGCTTATGATTCCCACGCCTGTGATTGCAGCTCTTCTTGAATCAAAATAATTCGAATTAAAAGCCCAGCTTCACTAGCACTCATTGCACGATACCTCAGCTAGAATTGCGATGCCTGTAAAATCAAGTATCATGCTCCGCTGGTTGAGGAAATCCTCAATGCAGTCCGCCACGTTGCTATTCCTGATAAGACTATTTAACATGGTAACGTACTCCCAAGCAGCAAAAGTGACGAAGTGAGGCACACATGTTTTTCTTCATCCCCTTGTGTCGGTATTGCCAAAAGGCAACTTCGATGGAGTTATGGTGGAAGTCGGCGGGGCTAGCGGAGGTCCTCGCATAGCTTTGTGTTGTGGTACCAGTTCCCGTGGCTTCTAACCTCGTTCCATTGTTGATTTCTCCCAACTCTGCTGCAGTGGTCCGCGGCTAGGGTGATGTGCGTTGGCGAGTTCCCGAGTTTGCTAGAATGGGAGCTTTGTCAGTCATAATGTTGCAGTATGAGTTGAAGTTTTCCCTTCTGAGTCTCTGGGTGCATCACTGAGTCTGAATTTCAATATCAGGGCCGGATGAAGGACCGTCTTGATGCCAGCCTCCCTCTAAGCTGCTCAAATGGGCTAAATTCATTCGGTCTTTAGCATCAGCATGTCACTTACTTCCCTTCTGAGCCTTGTGAGCTAAGTGTGTGATTGAGGAACTCGACTAGAGTACATGATCAACAGTCACAGCCCGGGAAATGGAGGCCATGCGTCTTCACAAGAATCCAGCGAGGCATATATGACAAGACAGTCAATGCTGATGAGGGAAGCCCCAAGAAAGCTGTTATCATTACGTTGGATATTCCGTTACGGTAAGTTATGCCGTCGTCTGGCGTCTTTGGCATAACATGTTAGTTCCGCATGCCGACGCGTTATTGTTCGTCCTAACCGAAATGTCCGCCTCAGTAGCCACTGATCCCTCAATCCAGGCTTCCAGGGCCGTAGTACGTTCCATCTGACCCTAACGGTGCGGTTGTCTCCTTTGGGACGTTAGGGTCTGATATTTGACCCTTCTCATGAAGTGTGTCATGCTGTTGTTGCGGCGTTGTCATGCTAGCGGGGACCATGTAAATAGGAGCACTAGAATTGCGCTGGCTGGTTTCAATGCAGGCTCTGACAAAGAGAATAAAGTGATTGAGCCTAGGAATCTTGTTAAGACTACGGTTGTGAAGCTCCAGAACCACAACATATATACTCACAGCAATAGGCAGGTGAACGCTAACGCGACGTACTCCTGCGTGGCAACGGACCAGTGGAAACTATAGACACTGAAGAGTGCCTCGCATACGACCCCAATCGCAAAGACCACACAGAAGATCAAGTGCAGCCCAACGTGCGCGCCAGGGTGGATTCCTTTCCTGCCTCCCCTCGCGCAGATGGTGATCAGCTCGGACACATCCCAAAGGATGGCGACAACACCCTTGTATACCAGTAAGTAAGTGGTCGGATGCGCTTCTCTATCGCTGAGGCATTGTAATTCCTTACTGGGATTCCACTGAACAATAGTAGGTAGGGGCTCGAATATCCTATAGTTACCAACTTGTTGAGTGTGATACCAATGACTATGGTACTGAAGGCGATGTTGCAGCCGCGGATAGCAATTTTGGCGATGTGCCATGGTCTGCTGTAGAGGTTTGTCTTCCGGTCACCATGGTTCTCGTACGGCACATAACCTTCTAGTCCATCGGGGTTGTTGTCTTGCGGCTTGCGGGGCATGGCGAGGGCGAACGAGTGAGCCAGGTAGTGTAAGTGGATACAGCACCGCAAGACTGTGTAGGCAGCCCACGAAGAGTGGGGACACGATTTCCAAACAAAAATAAAACAGGGAGGGAATAATTCGAGTATCGTTACTGCCACAGTTCACAGAGAAGCGAGAGAAGCAGCCAGGACTTCGGGTTGGGCGAAGGGGTTTTCATCTCATTTTATCGCACGACGACTGCGCCGCATGAGACAGGCATTCAGCGCGGTAGGAACCGCGTGCCAAATTAGTAGACGGCCCCTGGCCGAAATCAATTGGTACCGGAGGACATGGTCTCGCCATTGGCTGCCTAGAGAGAAAAGAGAGCAGGCAACATCGTCGATTGACCCCTTGAATTAGGTAGCTTGGAGGAGATATGTGAAGCCTTAGATTCAATTTTTCTCATCACTTGGCGCAACCCCCAACCGATTTATTCCCAACCACCAGAGTTCCAGATGCTTTGTTGCCGTTCAGGCCTTGGAAGGGGGGTTATGTTACATGTGCTACGTCAATAGATGAAGACAAATGGCTTATCTTTTGCACATCATAAAAATATATCGACGCTCATCAACTCGGGCTCCGCTCTTCCGCTACGACTAACAAGCAGCCAAAATCCAGGACACTGGCTCTGAATCACTTCCATGATGTGGCTCTTTGACATTTCGGGAAACGCATGCTCAGCAGCGGTCCGCCTGGCGAGGTCGAAATAAGGTATAAATTGTTCGCCCAACCTACGACCATAAGCCTACTCCCTCTGCAGCACTACCACCAAACCCATGATTCCCAACATCGCCGTCTTCAGCCAGGGGTATTCGGAGAGAAGGATCGTGACGTAACCGACAAAGGGGATGTATGCGACAACACTGCCAATGATGTCTTTCCGCACGAGGAAGTCCTGGCCCTTGGCGTACAACTACAGTATGGTTAGTGTGTTTTCTTCCAATCTTTCTTCAGAAAGGAGGCTAGTGTATACCTCCTCGTCGCTTCCTTGATTGTTGTCGCCTTTTGTCAAGAGCTTCGCTTCGGGACTGCAGAAAACGTCAGTTAGTTGCCCAGTATGAAGAGCAAGTTGGAAGGGAATAGGTATCATAGTACAGACCCTGCACCAAACTTCCGGACCACCCTGTGAACAATCGGAATGTTCTTTCCCTTGACTTCGTAGACGACGATCTCGCCGACTTCGGTTTCTTGGATAATGTTGCGGTTCCACAGGAAAAGGAGGTCTCCCCTTTGGAACGCAGGTTCCATTGAGCCACTGAGAACGACGACGATGGGACTGGGAGAATCAGAGACAATTGAAAGGCCCTTCCACATCTACATTGGCCGTCAGCAACGGGGTCATGCAGCACGAATGTATGCGGGAAAATGGGGTGGGACGAACCATAAAAGCCGTCGAGAGGATGAGCGCAAAGTTCAGCAGCTGCGACGCAGCTTGGCGCGGGTTGGCAAGACTTGACAACATGATGTCGGAAGTTCAGTCAAATGCGTACTACGGTTGCGGTTTGTGGTGGCGGCGGTGGTGGTGGTTCCGACAAGAGGTTGTGGTCGGATCGCGATGTTGGAAGCTGATTCGGGCGTCGAGTTTGGAGTTCTGGCCAGCAACGCAAGAGCTGCGCCAGCACAGGCCAACTAGCTGCTAGGTACTCTCTTGACGATCGGGAACGTGTCAACGGCAAAGAGAGGAGTACGTAGCTTTTCTTATCTTATCGCTCTTGGCAACGCGGTCGGTTGGACGTCGCGCACAGACCGTCTATCTTGCTGCTTCCCGTCGTCGCTCCATACCGTACCTACCTACTGCCTAAGTAGGTACCTAACTGCAGAAGCAATCATGGCGCAGCCTCAGGAGAGAAATCCGGATTGTTTATGCTGGATGTTGCGGATATGGATGTGTAGACGGCCAATGGCTTCTTCAAGCCGCGGGTTCTCCACCCCCGATCCAATCGTTCTGCAGGAGTCTAGAAAAGTTCAGACCATTCAGGCTACATCTCGCCGCGAAGGCATGGGGTTTCGATCCAGTCCAACTTAATCCATCCAAGGCCCGCAATGTAATATTTTTTGTGATGGCATTGTCGGAGGTGTGTTATATATAAATATATGTATATTCGACGGGGAAGTAGGGTTCAATGGAACTGGGCTCTTGCTCAGATTACTCTTCCTCGCCCAAACAGACATTCTGATGGCTGGCTTCCCTTTCGAGAGGTAGGCAAGTAGGCGGCTGGTTGTGTCTGTTGCCTACCTATATTCAGACTATGACTGAAGCACGCCTGCTTCTTGTCCGCCATCGTGGGAAGGCAAAGCCAGGACTATACCTCTAACGTGACGTTCCTTCCTTCAAAGATTGCCACCCAGCCTGCCTTCCTTTGGCGAGGGCCAAGATCAGAATATCAGTCATGGCTGGCCGAACTAAGCAAGAAGCAATGCTGCTTCTGAACAACTTCCATTTCCCTCGCCCTCCAAGTGCATAACCCACCTCCTGTTTTTCAACTTGACATCCCTTTCTCAGTCTCCTCCTTGGCCTCATTCTTGGTGTTTGCCGAGCAACAGCCTTCTCCACCAGACTTCGGGGTCCTTTACTCACATCGTCTTCTTTTACGTATTCAACGTTTCGACAGTCGCCTTCTATCTCTTGCTAATCAGTGTCAGCTATCCTGATGGATGCCTCCGTCACCACTCCCCTGCTCCACGGCCATGCCGATTTGGACGATGCCCATGGATTGCCAACACCCGCCTCATACGGCCAGATCCAAGATCATGCATGTTGCCTAGCCGCTGTTTCAGTGCGCTTCTGAGCTTGACTAACTTTTTCTCTAGCCTGCTTTTCTCCGAGCGTGCCATTCCCCCTGGCGATGTTTCCCTCAGAGCCTCTTGTGCTGGGTCCGAGGTGGTGTCGTTGCCTATCTGACTGCGGTCGGCGCCATGGTTATCGACTACAAGCTACGCCAAGAGTCGCCATACTCGAACTGGCGCGTTGTCTTTGATTTCTCCGTCGTCACCTTCTCGCTGCTCTTGGCCTACCACGCGCTGGTGCTGGTACGTCGACCAACCCCATCCCACTTGTCTGACAGCGCCATCTAGCTAACCTCGGTACTTGCTTTCAGGGCTGGACGTATACCCATCTTTACCATCCGCACATCGAGGAAACGCGCACTGGCTGGGAATACTGGGCGCTGAGGGTACTGTCGCTGCCCCATGACATGGCCAGCCTTCGCAAGCAGTTCTACTTCACCTTGTTCTACACCGTTACCACTGTTTTCACCTTCATGAATACTGTCATCTACTGGTTCGTGACACTGGCACATAACGACATGGGTACTGGCGAGCCACCTCAGCCTCAGCCATCTGGAGGCTCGGCCGTGTCATACATGATTGGGGACTCGCTGGGTTACGAATGGACTCGCTTGGAAGACGCTCACAATGACGGACCACATGAACCATGTAAGTCTTTTTGGTCCTGATGATGTTGAGCAACCTGACAAGCCCATGTTAGTCACAGAAATATTTGGCAAGGGCTGGTTCAGAGCTTTCGTCATTCTCAACCTGTTTGGCATCACATCCATCATCTCACTCTTTGAGATCTTCTACCTCAACAGCATCAGACGCCCCTGGGTGAGTGGTCTCAGACACGAATACAACGAGATTATGCTGACAATACTGAACCGACAGGCGGTCGGTGCACACACTTTGGGCGTCATCTTCTTCGCAGGCCTTTATCTCGGTTGGGCAGCCATCGGCAAGCTCGAGACTGGCGCCGATGCCTTCTACTGGCTGAACGAGAAGGAGGTCGGATCCCGTGAGGCCGTGGTGGCATCATCGATTGGCTTTGTCATTCTTGCTCCCATCAGTGTGTTCCCTGGTACCCTGTGACTTTGGACGCAACAATGCTGACTGGTTGTCTAGTGTACTCATTCATGTACGGTCTCGTGGGTATGCGCGAGAACATTGCCCGAGCTGCCCACACAAGACGGGTTGCCGCCGCTGCCGCGTTGGCGGACCAGTGAGGGAATTTCGGACCAGACGGATCATGTCGGAGATGAACGGAACATCTCTCGGGCGGTGTGGACGGCGGTAGCAGTCGGTTTCATCGGTCTTGGCCAAGTGCGGTGGCCAAGTACCTGGATAGATGCCTCAGATTGTAGGAGCGATAAGGCACGCATCGGGCTGGAGTCGATGAGGGTACCGCTCGAGGCGGTGGAGTGAGGATACGTGGGAGAGTGAACATACGATTACCGAAATAGCCTAGAACATTATGACTTCCAACACGCAACTCCTATTGCTGAACCGAGGCACCATCATGGTGGGACAGACACACGGTGATTGCTGGAAAGGGAAGCCCACGACTAAGGACGCCAGGTAATGGCATCATTGAAGATGACGGGACGGGGCGCGAGGGAACCACAATCAAAAGGGGGGCAAGGAGCGGTGTTGAGGCGGTGATGCAGGTCACTGGGCTTGCCGACCGTGAAGACTGGCGGAGAGCAAGGATTGGGGTGGGCGGGCGAGCAGGATGGGGTCTTGATGGCTCCTCCTGATTGGCGAGGGCGGTTTTGTGCCTGAATCTGCCCGACTAGCGGCATACGCCAATCTAGAGGGGCGCAGAAGTCGACGATATGGTTTTGTCCAAGGAGGGGTTTCAAGGATCTAGTGATCAGTTGGGAGGGGGGAAGGCAGAGTGTTGGGCCCAAATTCGTTTGAGAAGTGAAGGGCGGAGGAAGGGATGGGATGCCAAGGAGTTTGGAAGCTGAGGCCGAAAGCAAGCAACGGAATGCCTGACTGTCAGAGAGTCGCCGTCGTCTTCGTCGTAGTTCATGCGGCTTGAGGGAAGTTGGGATGGTTTAGGCTGTGACTAGTGAGACTATTGAGACCACGAGGTTCTCGCGTGTTCCGGCAGCGCTTAAGAAGCCAATGTGAAGGCGTCGATTTGAGGAAGGTTGAAGCCGACGCGCTCTCAGTCGTGGAAAGGGCAGTGAACAGAGAGGACCGACTGCGTCGTAAGGCATCTACGCACAAGTTCGGGTGTCGAGGTCTCGTGAGGTAGCGATGAGGTCCTGAGGCAGTGTCCAATCCCGAGTCTCTGGGGAGCCCTTGGGTCATGTATGCCAGAGGAAGACGAGGCGGCTGACGAAGAGAGCAAGCTGCAGCATCCCGAGCTTCCAGATGCTGCGAGGACGAACGTAGATGGCAACCATCTGGATCATGCCGACAGGACGAACTCACCAACCGGAACGGCAGCAGTTAAGCCGCCGATGAGTTGGCAGCCTGGCCCAAATTGACCGGGTACCTGATCAAACACGAGTGTTTGTCGGGCGCTCGCGGTATCAGTACTCGGCATGGGTCATCGGCCAATGATAGCTACCTTGGAGCTAGCTGTCCGTCTGTCGACCGCCCCTTCTCGCGACTTCTCCACGCGTAAATGAGGGGGTGTTTCTGAGATGCCGCAGGCGAGGCCTGAGGCGTCAATGAGGAAAATGAGGAGGGCAGCTTCCGCGCAATTCAGCGAGCCCCGCGTTGCGACGACCTCACGTGTGCGACTGGCGATAACCCATGCGATGATGGTGAGGTGTCTTGCGGTCGAGGTGCTTGGGCCGCCATTCCCGACGGTCTCCCCTCCCCTCCCCTCCCCTTCCTTTTTTGGCGGCTAGGTATGAAAAAGGTACATGTGAGATGTACCTTTACTGCCAACGCACCGGAATCCATCTCGGGGGTCGGAGGAGGGACGGAAGGGGGGGAGGTCTGATCTGGCCCCAGGAGGCAGGACCGGTGACGGTTCAGGGGCCGTCAGGTCGCCTCCACTTGGTACCGATACCTGCTGGGCCTGCGGGTGATGGTTGGTCCGTTACTCTGTCCGGGTGGTGTTTTTAGTGTTGAGGCCAACGGGAATTGAGCGCGCGTTAGCGGCTGGACCCCCCCGGTTGGAGGGGAGGCGCTTGCGGTTGGCGGGTAAGGGCAATCCGGTACGTACCCATCTTCGAATGTACAGGAAGGTAAGTTAGGTACCTGGTTAGGTAGGAGGTAGGTGCCATAGTAACATGTCACTTTTGTACACAGTCGCATCGCCCACACAGCCGAGTTGACTTGGATCGAATCGGGGGTGGTCCTTCCTCAATCAAGTCCTCAGTCCCTCACTTGATGTACCGCCTGGTGAAGTCACCGACATTCCATTCTGGTAGGCGTTAGGCGGCGATGCCTGCCTGGGCACTTCCATCCATCTTCTGCTGTTGCCTGTGGGCTTTCCCGCCAAACAGCGTTCACGGCCGCTCAGAACCGTACACGTACCTTGGGCTACTGTGCCTCTGTCCTATCATGGCACGCCTGGGCACCCCCCTCCCCCCCTTCCCCCCAAAAAAGTGCGGCGGTTGGGCTGGCAGCAACCAATGACACGCCTCCGAAGAAGAGGTGAAGAGTCGGGGAGGCGGGCAAAACATCACCAACTTCGCGGGACCCTATAAATATGAAGGGCCCCCCTCCGCATCCACCCCTCTTCTCTCCTGTTCCCCCTTCCCCCCCTTCACTCACAACCAAAAAAGGGTCGCAAAGTTGCAGTTGGGAATATCTCCTTGGGTCGTTCGTTACTGAATAACTTCTCCATAGGAGGCATCTCTCACCCCGGACCCCCAGTCAATCTTTTTTGTGTGTCACTCGTCCCTCACTTTCTCTCACTCTCTCTCTCCCCCGTCTCCCCCCCTCCTCCTACTCCTCCTACTTCGTCATTCCCCCTTCTCCCCTATTCGCTCTTTTCGTCAGTCTCTACAAGTCTTCTTATCTCAGAGATAAAGGCATATAAGGACCCTGGGCAACGCGCCCTCTATCGATCCAGGTTTCCTGTCTTCACTCTCATCGTCCCCATTCGAGTTCACATTCCTTAACCACAACAACGTATATAACACAACTTCTTCAGATCCCACCTTCCCTACCACAACCGACCGCCGTCATGTCGTTGTTCAAGCGCACGTTCAGGTCGCAAGACCCCAACGTCCGCGTCGACAAGACGTCGAGGCTGAAGAAGTCGAGCTCGATCCGGGATCCCCAGAAGCTATCGAAAATGCAACAGTCCACAACGGATAACAGGCCCGCCATGGCCCCGCCAGCAGTCCCCGCGCCGCACCCGTCGAAGTCGGCCAAGGCGCCCAATAAGTCCGTGGCCCCCTCGCCCATCGTCACCCTGACCGTCGGCCGAGAGGGCCGGCTGTTTGCCGCTCACGAGGACGTCCTCTTCCAGTCGTCCTTCTTCGAGGCCGCCTGTCGAGGCCAGTTCTTTGAGTCGCAGAGCAAGAGGATTGCCCTCCCCGACGAAGAACCCGAGATCTTCTCCTCCGTCCTCGAGTATCTCTACAAGGGCGACTACTACCCTCGCCTCATGCATAACAGGCACCGCAACTCTTGGGAGCTCGAGGACGCCGTCAGAGGAACTCCCCAATCTTCCCCCAACCCCGCCGAACACCACAGAGGTGGCCGCGCAGCTGCCATGCCGCCCACGCCCACAACGACAAGCACCCCGAGTGAGGCGACAATATACGTCGCGGCCTGTGAGCAACATATCCTCCGTGACACCGTCATCTACTGTGCCGCGGAGCGATACGGGCTCGAGGAGCTCAAACGCTTGGCTCTGCGCAAGCAGGGCCTGCAGACCGGCATCGACGTCGGCACCATCTTGCGCTCCGCCCAATACGCCTATGCTCACACCCCCGACTCGGATTCGCGGCTGCGCGCTCACTACCTTGCCCTGATCATTCGGTGTCGTAAGACATTTAAGAGGAGCGGAACCATGCAGACCGAGATGGAGCAAGGTGGCAGCAAGCTTTTTTTCGACCTGTTCGTGGCCATGTGCAACCACCTAGACGACGTGATCGACCACAGCAACGCGCGAACACCCAAGACCGTCTGAGGGGTTTTGTTTAGACCCTGATTGTTGGCTTCGAGTTGACTTGAACCAGCTGTCAAAAAACACATGTGCAATTACAAAGCGAGCATGGTATCACCACGGCGTTAAACCACGAACTGTTTTTTTTTCTTGTATCATTTGGTCTTTTTGGTCTTCCGGGATTGCATCACGATGGAAAGGAGGCTGTCTCAGAAGTGCGGTCCCAAGGAGGTCTGATTTCATGTTTTGACGGAGCGTCACTTTCTCCCCTCTCTCCCACACCAGATTGGAAGAAAAACTATTTGGGAGCTGTCTTTTCTTTCTTGGAAAACCCATCTCCACTTCTCATCGAGGTTGGCCGAATACCCTTCTGGTGGTTTTAACGGAGTTCGAGAGGACTAATACCCACCGCACACGAACAATCCTCCCCGCTCTTCTTTTTACACTCTCCCCTATCTTCAGCAAACCCCGAGCCAAGACGATTCCCGACACAGGACTACAGCACGCGGGCCTTGGTGATTTTGTTTCTCCCCGCATCGCTGGCGTTCTACCCTCTGGGACTTGACTAGTACCCGCTCCGCGTTCACTCGTAGGTGGTGGCGAAAGGAAGTCCAATGGCTCATCAGAGAGAAAAAGAGGACAGACGAAACGGGAATCTTGTTGCCTCTTTGATTTTTTTTTTCCACACAAAAACAAAACGACAATAAAAAAAAGACACCACCCCCAGCACCAAGCTTGGGTTATCGGGGCAACTCCGCTCGATCTGCTTGGGATCGACACGACCCACGGGGGTGGCGCAACTCTTCACAACTCTCATCTCCCCATCGGAAAGGAACCTGGCGTTTTCATTCGGTATTAGACATACCTGGGGGCACACATCAGCATGGTGCCAGCAACCATACAGATTGTGTGTTTTTCTGACATTGTCTTTCTCCTTGATGTACGGATGTCGAGAGGCAACACGGCCCTCGACTCCAGGGTAGGCCGAGAATATAGAAAGGGGGGGGCAAATCTTGTACAATCCACGGCGTCCAAGGAACCACAGGCTTGGACGCTGTGCCCTCTCTTTCTCTCTTGGCTCGCTACGCCAAACCTACACCAACACACACAACAACAAAAAAACGGAACATCTCCCACACAATAAACAGAACATGCCAGGATGGACAACTTTCACACATGTTTTGAGAATCTCATTTCGTAACCTGGGTGATTGACTCTTTTTGGAGGAACGGTACGCGCGGTCTGCATCGGTTTCTGCTTTGCGACATAGCTGGCGATGGATAGATATCTTGATGATCTACTTCGTCGGGGCTCTCCCTAGTGGACTGGCCCTCGACCGGCTTGAGCCCTCGTTAGAGCGAGGTAATGAGAAAATCGGCCACCTCATGCTTGTTTACCCATTCTCCTGTGTGATTATGCGCATGTTTTTAAAGTGGCGTGATGGGCCCTACTGAGCTCTTTCCCGGAGAGCAGTTGACTGACCAGTGAAGAAGTATTCGGCACCTCTATCTCCTCTGTTCCTATCAGACAGCTTGCCTGCTCCCCGTTCCTTGCTCCTGGTAATAAGGCAGCGTCCGTCCGAACAGGGGCGCCGATCCCCGTGCAACGAACTATGTAAGACGCCAACCCAGGATACAATGACTCTATCGATGCGGGCAAAACATCACAAGTCAGTCAGTCATTATTTTAGTACACAGGCGCGGCCTCAACTTTTTACTTGCGATAGATGGGCGTCGGTAGCACAGGTGTCCCCCATCGATGTGGTATCAACCGGGCTCGCTGTACCAATGAGCCTCCCTACGTGAGCGGCGCACGACATGGGACGCAGCCGACACAAGGTTGTACATCTGAGATGCCATACGGCGCACCTGTGTGATTGACAGATGCAGCTCGCCCTGGTTGGCAAGCGGGCGCCTCAAATCGCTTTACGGAACCCGAGTCCAAATTCAGCATTGCATGTCTCCACAAAGGACGCAACCATCATTTGTGTTCTTTCTTTCGGTGCACATTGGCACTGACAGGTTCAGGAGGTGTTTCGAATAACTGTAACTCTGAGCGAGAGATCGAGGGCGCGCCGCAGTCCATGCAATGCAGCACCCCGAGTTGACCGTGTTGACTGAGCACGCACAGCAGAGCCCGTTTCGTTCACTCGGCAGGCGCGCCCACTCGCTCGCTCGCTCGGCGCAGCCGGTGAGACATCTGCATGCACAGGGTGTAGTGCGGTGTAGAGATACAGGAGTTGGCCATACGCAGCGTGCCACAGGCAGCGACAGGTGATGATGCAGCTAAGGGATGGGGGCTTTCGTGTGGGATGAGACATGTGGAAGAAAGAAGGAGGGGAGAGGATGATGTGATATATAGACAAGAAGGGAGGGCGCACTCGGCACCGCTGCTCTCCCCGTTCCTTGCATATTGACATCAGCAAGTCCGCAGAATCCTCCCTCTCATCCACCGAGAGAGGTTTGGAGGAATTCGGCCAATATCGAGTTTTTACCCCTCCCACTCCGGGCACAAGTTTGATTCAACGACGGCCGCTCCAACCAGGCCTTGCTGTGCTGGTTTGTGTACCACCTCGCAAACTGGGTCAGCCTTTCAAGGCGTATCGTATCGCATTCGCAAGGCAAGGGTGAGTTTGCCGTTTTTCCATCGGTTCCATGGGTTGGTTGGCTTTCCTCAGGCGTCGTTTCCTGCGCGAACGGCTGGGGCGTTTTCCGGAAGGCGCCCCCCCCCTTCTCTCTCTCCCTCTCTCTGCGTATCTTCGCTTCGCCGGTGCCTGCCGCATGGTATCGACCCAAGCTTCTCTGGCTTCCTGTCGTTCGGTTTTGTTTGTTTGTTGTTCCGATCCTTTTCCTCTTATTCTTGGTCGACTCCAGAACCCAAACCCCCTCCCCCGGTTCGGGTGCTGCTTCCCGTCCCTTGTCCCACTTATAGGCATCCGCACTGAGCCGAAAAAGAGGGTCCACAGCCCTGCGGATTGGGATTGGTCAATGGCTCGGATGGGTAATATGAATGTGTGCTTGGGCTGCCGTCAAGAAAGTGGTATTTTATTGTTGCCCCCTTGGCTGTTTATTTCCGATGGCCACGGGGACGGCCTGCAGCGTGGTCCGAGCTGACGCGTGCGTGTGCGTGTGTGTGTTGTGCAGAATCTCCATCTCGTCGGCAGCAACAACAACAACAACAACAACAACAACACAGACGAACAGATAGACAGACAGGCTCTGCAGCCTACAGGGCGGCATCGCATCGACGCCGAAGGTTCAACGGGCCTTGGCATCTTTGCCAGAACACAGGCTTCACGTGACTCCTGTTTCGAGACCCGCTATTTCTAGTCCCGTGGATCTGGATTGAGATTTGCAACCAGAGAGAAACTGGTGCCTTTGTTTTTCAAAGTCCCCCTTCCCCCTCCCCTTTCCTTTCTCATGTGATGGGTTTTCCTTTTTCCTTGTTTTTTCTTCTCTCGTTGTTTACTGTGTTTCCCGGTTCCTGTGGGGCCTGGTTGTGTTTCTTCTCGTCTCTCCTCTTTTAGGGTTGGTCGGCCTTTCATCAGCATTTCATCTCCCCCGGGCTGCCAGCCTGCCAACCCAAAGTTGAACGGCTACTACGTAGGTAGTGTATCCGTACCTATGGTAGTACTGCGCGCCGTCGGGGACACGGACCTCCTTACCCCCACCTTCCTTTTCCCGGCATCATTCAATCAACCTTCGTCATACAGGCAGGTAGGGAGGTATTTTCTCGTCTCTCATTTCCTGCCCTATCCCATCCGGGCCATTCTATTCGTACAAGGCACCCTACCTACCTACCTACCTATGCCATGCAATCTCATGCCACCCCTGCTCTGCACCCGAGCCCCTTGTCCTCTTCCATTCCCCTGGGCTCAGTTAATCTTCTTTGCATCCACCCACAGACGTTCTGATCCATTGATCCTTCCCTTCTTCTTTTTTGCTTTGACGGCCTTGTGTGATGTACACGCACGCAGGCATTACGCTTGTATCTCTCATTACGCTTCTTACTACCTACTATCCCTGGCTGATGTTGTCCTGTCTCACGCAACCCTTTTCTTCAATGCAACTACCTAAGCACCACCTACTATGCATGGTAGGAACATGACTTGAAACAGCGCAGAGAGGGGAGGGTGGGATCGGTAATGAATACCATTCTGATGGGCTAATCAAACCGGTTTACAAGACAGACACACACACACGAATAGATAGATAGGGTATCCGTACGACGTCTAGATATACATCTTGTCCTGTCGCCAGCCACCAAATGCAGCAACATCAACATCAACATCAGCAAGCACTATTTACCTTCCGGTGAGACGAAGGCGCGCCCGGGCCATTGATAATCTCCGTTGGGCCACGTTTGCGGCCATTCACGCGAGCTAGCTGGCTCCCCTTTGGCTGGTTCAGCCCGATTGACGACGCCACGTACACAGCTCTCCCCAATTCCCGAGTCCCGTGCCTTGTGCCGTTGAGGCCGTCGTTCCCAACGTCCATGCGACGCTGGGTCTTTCTTGGTTGCGCTTATCCGCAGCTTCCATAACAATTTCCTTCCTTCTTTTCCCCATCCGACCTCCCATTCCCCCCTTCCTCCACATCTCCTTTCGGCCAGACCCTCCCTCCATCCAGTCCATCCCTAATTCAGCGAAAGCCAAAAGGAAGGAAATAACCCCCCTAAAGATTCCGGTTCCTCCTGTCTGTCAGTCACTCGAAACAAGAAAGACCCGAGCAACTTGAGTGTGCCACATACGCACTTGCACACACACACACAAGCGCGCGCGCGCACCCAGACAACTCCTTACCTCTCTCCCTTCTTTGCCGTTTGACCCAGCGCAACGGAGACACCAAACAACAGGAAAAGGCCGCATCGCATGCCTTTCCCTTTGCCCAAACAAGAGAAACAGAAAGCACGGCCCCTGCCCCCCTTCCCATGAGGTCCGGACTATCTCGGTCGATCAACGCGCGCAGTCGAGACAAGTCGAGACAATTTGCCGAGGATACGCTCCGCTTCTCTCTGCCTGCAGCTGCAGCCACGCATTGCATACGAGCCCGCCAAAACCCATATCTTCCTTCCCTTATACCCTTCGCCTGGACGGCTTCCGCACTGCTGACTCCCGGTACCTTGCAGCTACCTCGCTCTTGCGACGCCGCTGCCGCTGCAATTGCTACTGGTGTCATCCTGAACATCTCCCAGCCCCGCCAACCTTGCTGCTCCTGGACACGACGCCCGACACTTGACGCTAGATGCTGGGCGCGCCCTCGCCTTCGTCGCTCCTACATCACCTAGCCTCCCTTCCCTCGTGGGTCAGCGCTCCTTTCACTCCCCCCCCCCCCCCCCCCCCCCCCCCCACCCCCTTTCGCACGTCCAATCCGTCACACCACGTCCCTGCATCAACCTTGCATTTGGTTGTGACTTGGCTCTTTTGCCGCCCGGTGCTGGCGGACGGACGTCAATTGCAACTTGCGACCGATTCCAGAAGCAACAACGCCTGCCTTGCTACGCGTGGTGCATTTGCATCGAGCATCCCGATCCGAGCACTGTAAGGGAGGGAGGGGTCCGCGGTCGCCCCTAGTCCCCTGGCCTAGCAGTTCCCAGTCGCTCCTGTCACGTTCATCCTCTCCCGGGCCCTCTCCTCGACCTTGCTTGTATGTACAGAGTACTATCTCTGTACACGACTACCCATTCGCCGGCTCACTCCATCGCTGACACTCGGTCCTGCAGTGCACTTTCGTCTGCAGTTTGCACTCCTCGATTGCTGCTACCCGCCGCGCCAGTCCAGTTTGTCCAGCAACCGTGCCGTGCCCTCTCTCCTGAATCCTGAAGCTGGCCCCTGTGCCATCCTGCAGCCCGCGCGTCGTCTGCAGGTCGATTCTCCGCCTCCCTCCTTTTTTTCTGTGTGTGTTCCCTCTTCGGCCCCCCCCCTCGTCATCATGGACAACGACTATGATTCCGCACCAATACCCCCCATCCCCCACCGCTATCGAAACCTCCAAACTCCCGAACCTCATCCACATCGGCGTCTACATTCATCTTCGTCCCGACGCTCCGCCGAAGCTGTTCCCGGTTCGCCCGAGGTCATCTCTTCCTTAATCACCAGCCTTTCCGTCATATCTGAACCGGCCGACCAGCACTTCGAGTACAGCGGACCGAGCTCTCCCCCTGCCGTATCCCCTCGCCAAGGCAGCTTTGGGGTCGACTACGGTGCCTACCAACCCTCGATTGAAAACCTCCGAACCAACGACGTTCCCTTTGACGAAATTCCCGCCGCCGCGCCTGTCATCAAGACCTCCAAGCCACCCTCTGGCCTGTCGCCTTTGACCGCTCCCAAATCCCCTACTCGCGACGCTTCTGGTGGTATCAAGTCCCTTCTACGGAGTGCTTCGCGACCCTCGTCAAAAGGTTCACTTGGATCGCGGGATGATGCCCACAGTATAGGCAATCTTTCGATAGAACGCGGTGCTGCGCCTACCCCCGAACTCAGGCGGCAAAGCTCGTTCGACAGCTGGGGCAGGAAGCAGGGTAGAAGTCACAAGGGCTTGATGTACATGAGTTCCAAGGAGCGACTACGAGACAAGGAAGAAAAGAAGCGCCTAAGCATTGGCGAACGTAGTTCCAGCAGCTTCACAGCGGCAACCCTTCGGCCAGACCCCTTCCTCGCCGAGACACCCATCCGGGAAGAGGCCACTTACAGCCCGGAATCGCCCACGCGAGAACGCCCCCGCAGGCACGGCATGGCGAGCCCGACCCCGACCTTGGATCCAGATACCAGTCCCAGGCACATACCCGCCCGCGATTCGTCCCTTTCCAAGACCGGGTCCAACGCGAAGAGAGGATCGGTGAGGTCCTCTAGATCCAAGAGAGAGAGCGTCAACAGCAACGACGTTATATTCGAGGCAGAGGAGCAGAAATCGACGAGCAAGTCATCGCGGCCGAAACACATGCCTCGCCACGCGTCGGAAAATGATTTGGTCAGCGCCTCGGCCGGTACGCCTTTCAGGTCTTTTAGCCGCCCACTGTTCCAGGGTAGATACACCGAAGATTTGCGTGCAACAACGGGACCGTTGGTTGAGGAGGATATCGAGGATGGCGCGCCATTCCCCGCTGTTGCTCAGGGTCGTCGTCGCGATGAACTGGTTGCTGACCGAAGCAGACGAAAATCAGCACGCGATCCACCGGACGCAGGCGAGGGCATCAAGATGAAGCGCAGCAGTTCCAGGCTAAAACGGCTCTCGCAGCCGTTGAGCCCCAAGGGAGAAGAGCCGGCTGGTACACACAGCTCGGCTGCATCACCAGACACTCGCAACAGCATGCCCACCGGGTACGAGCGCCCACGCAGTGCAGACTCTATCGACGACGCCGTTGAGTCGTACTTGTGCTCGCCCCGTCTATCGCAAAAAATACGGCACCCACAGACCGGCCGAGTCATTTCCTTTTCCGAAGTGGGAGACGCCGACGGCTCTGCTGTCTTTTGCTGCGTAGGCATGGGGTTGACGAGATATATCACGGGATTCTATGACGAGCTCGCACTGACGCTCAAGTTGCGCCTCATCACCCCTGACAGGCCCGGCGTGGGCGACAGCGAACCGTACGCTGATGGAACCGCGACGCCTCTCAGCTGGCCCGACGACGTCTACGCCATTTGCCAGGCTCTGAAGATTACCAAGTTTTCTATTCTTGCTCACTCCGCCGGCGCCATCTACGCGCTGGCAACTGCTCTACGCATGCCCCAGCACATCCGTGGTAAGATCCATTTGCTCGCGCCGTGGATCCCGCCCTCGCAGATGAACGTGTTCGGCACTTCGCAGGCGCTCCCGCCGACCAATGCAATCCCGACCTCGCAACGGATATTACGAGCACTTCCCGCGACCTTCTTGAAGGCCGCCAACAGTTCTTTCATGTCGGCAACGAGCAGTTCCATCACCAGTTCGCTGCCCAAGAACACCAGACGAAGCAAGCGCAAGTCCACGCCGGCGACGGGCCGAGACGCTCACCCCGACAAGGAAAACATGGGCATGTATGACCGCGCTAGCCCGACCGAAGATGCCTCGGGGAGGCCGACGCCGACAGCAATGGAGAACATGGATAGGGTTCGGCCGGACGGCGCGGCCTCAGCGCAGGAGCACTATAGCGCTAATGCGCAGATCCTGACAGCCGCGTCAGATGCGATGGTGGACAAGGAGCGCCAGTCCATCTACGACACCAGGCTGACACATGCCATCTGGGAGCTGGCGACAACAAATGCTAACCCTGCTGTCGACTTGCTGGTTTGCTTGGAACGCAGACATACCATTGGTTTCCGATACGTTGACATTACGCGGCCTGTCGTGATCCATCACGGCAGCCGTGACACGCGCGTGCCAGTTGATAACGTCAAGTGGCTCGGGAAGACGATGAAGCGGTGCGAAGTCCGCATTCTCGAAGGCGAAAGTCACGGTCTAATGGCCAGTGCCAGCGTCATGGGTGCCGTGCTCTTGGAGATTAGCAAGGAATGGGATGACTGGCTGCGTGCCACGAAGAGGGACGACCGCGGGCGGAAAACTGGCACGCGGTAATGGGAAGATGCATCCTTTGCAGTGGTTGTTGGTAATTAGCGGCGATTCGAATATTCTTGGCGGTCCATTTTTTCGGCAATCCCCCCCCCCCCCCCCTTTTTTTTTTCCTTTTTTTTTTTTTTTCCTGCCTGAATGATCTTTACCCATTCACGGTTTGACCTGCGCCTTGGTATATACCCGCATAGGGGGCGAGTTCCACAATATGTTGAGATGGCGATCATTTATGATTTCTTATGTATCAAATACCACTTCTGTACAGCATCGGCGTTGGGCCCGCCAGGAAGCTTGCTGGGATAGGCAGGCGTACCCTGATGACGAGCTTCGGGGAAGGCGAAACCGCGATTGAAGACCAGAACCGGGTGCAGACCGGAAGGATTCACGAAGAGTGTTGGTCATGGTGTTTGCGAATGCTTGCATACAGTATATAGATTAGACTGCCGCGCGCAATGCAAGGTCGCGGGCAGACGTCGAGTAATATGTTAATACGATCTCCTTTGTGGACTTCGAGATATGCTGTTCCTCCCGGATAGAGGCCTTGAATTGGTTGAGTGGCCTTCGAGATTGTTGCATCACTGATGTGACTGTGTTTAAACAGAGGAACCTCAGCTGTCTAGAAACGGCAGTCACACGATGCTCGGGCATGAAGGGTCGCATACACACTGGTTCTCACAGGTCAAGATCCCGGCACCTCGGCAGCTAGGGTTCGGCATAAGACATGGGCAGGTAGACACTCGTAACAACCGACGAGTTGGAACATGGTAGACTTGGACGTCTCGTCGATGACTTACTGTCATTCAACCAATACAGGTCAAGGTGGTTTTGCGGATGGGGGCTACGTCTGGTTATCTCTTAGCGTAACCAGCGCTTCTCCTTTCGTTCGATGTTTTATTTCTCGCTCCCAAACCATAAATGAAATCACGACTGGATTTCATATGCACCTGAGCAACAATGTATTCGGCGTGACCGAATGTAGAGCTCTTTGTAAGACAGCCAGACTGGCTAAGTGGGTCAGGGCCACTCTCGGCTCCGGCCCGGTCGAGGCCGGGTTTGGCGGGCCTCCTCCCCCTCATCTGCGAGTCGGGCGGGATCAGAGCCGGCCGTGCGCGGATAGGACAATGCGCTCTAGCGACGTTTTACACATGCACAAGAATCGAAACAATCCGTGCGTGCGTCTTGAATGCTGCTTTTCGTGAAGCTGGCCGTGCCCGGTACATCAAGCTTGGGAGAGACTTCCTGTTTGGTACAGCTCTGGCGCTAGTCCCATGTGGGACGGAGCACTCGCTATCTTCACACCCGTGCAACGGGCCCTACGTCATGGCTGCCAACGTGCGCCTCGATGCTTGTTTGCCCACGTCCTGTACAATGTGTAACGGCCCAGCCCTGTCGTGAAGACAATGTAATCTCCTTCGAGTCTGTAGCATCTTTTGTCGCGGCTTGGTTTTTGGCGGAATCGACTCCTCGTCCTTGACCTGTCCCCTTCTCCTCCAGCAGCCGCGGCTCACTGATGTCCTCTTCACCCACTGCCAGCTCACTCGTTCCGCTCATCACGGCCCGTCTCATCTCAACACCACGAGTCAAGGAGCCAACCAGCTGAAAAGTCCACCACCATGGATATCCTCCTCTCTCTCCCGATTGTCTCCTACTTCCTCGCGCCTTCGATAACATCATGGACGACCTCCCTCAACCTCCTCTTCTTCTACATGACCTGGACGACCCTCGTTCTGTCCCACGGGCCCCTAAAGGTCCAGCTCGTCGGCGTTCTCGCCATCCGCCTCATGCTCTGGCTGGTCCCCTCCCTCGTCTTCCTCCTCTTCGACACCCTCGTCCCCTCCATCGCGGGATCCATCAAGACTGGCGGCGCCTCCGCCCTCCCGCCCGCCCACGGCCCCACACTCCTTAGAGTCCTGCTCCTGGCCATCTTCAACCTCGCGTTGTCAGCCGCCGTCGAGGGCGGCATCAGCCTCGCTTACGCCTCCTACTTTCCCGAACCCCTCTTCCGCGCTTCCACCGCCCTGCCCCTGCCCTTTCAGCTCCTGAAGCACCTCGCCTCCCTCATCGCCGCCCGCGAGGTCCTGACCTACTACCTCCATACGCGCGTCCTACACGGCCGCGGCGGCAGCCGCCGCTCAGCCCTGACCCGCGTCGCCAACCTGCACGCCTCCTACGCCCACGCCCGCGCCGCGCCGCCCTTCTCGCTGATGCTCTTCGCCGACCACCCGCTCCCCTTCCTCCTACACCGAGTCGCGCCCGTCTTCCTCCCCGCCCTGGCCCTGCGGCCGCACCTGCTCACGTACTTCTTGTTCGTCGGCTTCTGTACCGTCGAGGAGACCATGGCCATGTCCGGATACAGCATCGTGCCGGGGATCGTCATGGGGGGCATCGCCCGCCGGACGGCGGTCCACTACGCCGGCAGGGGGAACGGCAACTACGGCGCGTGGGGGGTGCTGGACTGGGCGCATGGGACCAGCCAGGGGAACGACGTCATCGACGACATGCGCGCCGAGGCGGAGAAGCACCGCGTCAAAGAAAGGGGGGAAAGGGCGGCCAGCAACGGGGCCGAGTTCCTGCAGGACGGGATCCAGGACTTGACAAAGGGCCGAAGCCGCAAAACAAAGAAGAACGCTTGAAGGGGGTGGCATTCGCGACGTTTTGTTGCGAATAAAATACTTTGACCTGGACGTTGGAAAATGCAGTTGCTTGTTTTATGTGTTCCCGAAGATATCCCCCACCCCGTAGCCAGCACGTCTATGTATGTATGTATATGTATCGAAAAGCCTGCACCCACTCAATCGCTCCTATTCATGTCGACCCGGATCCTGATGCGCCCCAAGACGGCTCTCTCTCTAGCTGTAGATGCCCAATATTTCCCGGAAGGGGGAAGCAAGAATGGCACCGTCTATGCCCACGCGTTCTTCTTCTTGAACCACTTGAGCGTCTCGAGCGCCGACTGCACGCGCATGCCCAGCCTTGCGTCGAAGACGAAGGCCTCCCACGCGACGACCTTGTCGAGCCACTCCTGGCACTCGTCCGTCTTCTTCCTGCGGTAGTCCTCCACGGCCTTGGCCTGGCCCTCGGCGTCCGTCGGCTCGTCGGCCGCGGGCGTGCGCTTCTCCGGCTGGCACCCCTCGAACCAGGCTACTGCCGCCATCTCGTAGTGCGCCATGGGCATCGGGTACTCGTCCTTTGTTGTGCCCTTGAACGCGGCTCTGTGACATTGTTAGCTTCGGTTAACCTTCGTCCCCGGCTGGGGGAAATAAAAAAGGAGGAAACCTAGCGAGTTGGCTTACCTGTCTGCGTTCAGGACCTCTTTCTGAAGAATAGTCCTCGCGTCCTCGAACCGTCCGAGGGTCCGGTATATGGCCGCCAGGGAGATGGACCGGATGGAAGCCTCATCCGGGGTGTTCTTGACCTTCTCCAGGGCCTCGGCCGGCAGAGTGCACCGCTCCCACGCCAGGCCTTTGATGGCCTGGTTTAGCTCCTGATCGTTCATCCTCTTGGTGCCGTTCCACAGGTTGACCATTTCCTGCGCGGGGCTGACGACGACGGCGTCCGCCAGGTCGACCTTGAACTCCTTAGCGCGGTCCTCCCACTTCTGGATCTTGCGGGTGATGAAGGTGTCGAAGGGCAGCTGGCGCGCCATGAACTTTTTCCGGCCGGCCATCGTCGGCGCCTTGCGGAACAGCTCCTCGACCTTCTTCTTCCGCCTCCGCATCTCGGCCTCGTCCTTCTCCTCGCTGTGGAACGCGTCGCGGTAGAGCTCGAGCTCGGCGCAGCCGGCCATGTAATAGTACATCGTGTGGCTCCAATCGTTGAGTTCGAGGCAGTTCAGGAACGTCTTCTGCATCAGTTCCCAGTCCTGGTGCGACATGGCGGCGAGACCCAGCTCGAAGCAGTTGAGCGCCGTCACCTGCCGCATCTTGGACTCCTGGCCTGTGGTGAGCAGCTGGATGGCGTCAGCGAGCCGGCGCTGCTGCGCCAGGACGCGTGACTCCTCGACTCGCCACAGGCGCGAGTCCGGGTACCGCGTCCGCATCGAGGCCAGCAGCGCCTCGCACTTCTTGGCCGGGTACCCGACCATCTCGGCGTCTGCGTCAAAATCCAGCTCGGCCGGCGTGATGTCCGCCTGTCCCATGATGCCGTTATAGTAGCCAAGGAGGATCAGGCCCGACACGGCGCCGTTGAGGTTGTCGAATTGCGTGCTCTTCCAAAGCATGCGTACGCCGCGCTCGCGGTCGCCGCGAAAGCCGACGACGTAGAGGAGGCGGGAGAAGGCGGGAGGAACCATGCTGAGCATGAAGAGGAGCATACCGAAGCACATGTTGGCGCCGCTATGGATAAAGGCGTCCACGGGGTTGGAGAAGACACCCGAGTCGGTCTCCGAGTCGTCAGCAATGGGAGATGAGACCTGCAGAGGCGCCAGCTTCACGTCGCCGGAGGGTGTCGACGTGCCCGAGTTCAGGTCGAGCGCGGCAAGCTCCCGAGCCGGAGTCGCCGATGCCAAGCCGTCCGCCTTGTTCTCCACCGGCGTCCCGGTCTCCGACTTGGGGACCTCGCCGACGTCGACGAACTCCAGGTCGCTGTCGTCGTTGCGGCCCAGGTCGGCAAATTCCCGGTCGTCGAAGCTGCCGGGCATCTTCTCCTCGCCCGGGGGCGTGTCCGCCTTCCCCTTGTCCTTCTCCAACGCCTTGGCCTCCTGCAGCATGATGCCGTCGAGGGTAACGAAGGCCTTGCGCAGCTTGTAGAAGCCCTTGAGGGCCTCGGTCAGGCTCTCGTGAAGGACGGCAACGACGGCCGACATGAGCTGCGACTCGGCGTGGATGAGCAGGAACTCGGTCCCTGGCGGGTAAATTCTGCTACTCGAGGCCTGGCCCTCACGCTCTGCTTTCTTGTAGTCCGCCCATGCCTTGGCCTCGGTGTCGGCCAGCCGCTTGGAGGCCTCGTTCATGACCTCCTTCTCGAACCCGAGGACAGAGCGGAGAAATGTCGTCATAGACAAGCCTAACTGGTGAAAGGCTGAGTCGCCCTTCCGCAGACGCTCCTCGGCGCCATCAATGTCGTCGTTCATGATGAGAGCTGCGGCAACCATGGCTTCCTCGATATCGGCCATTTCCTTGGCGGTCAACTCCTTGGAGGAGAGGTTGAGCGACGACGAGGCCGGGCTCGCACTGCTACTCCCCTTGGCCGACGAGCGGAACCACGACCCCAGTCTACTCATTGTGACAAAGATGACGAGGCTGAAGTGAGTGTTTGAGGCGTGGTCAGTCCCGAGTGAGGGAAAGATAGGCTATCGTGAGACTCGACTTCTTTTTTTTTTTTTTTTTCTGCGCCTGAGTCGGGGCGTCGGAGTTGCGAGGACCACTGGAAACCGGAAGTGCTCCGGCGAGTTGCTGACGAGAGACGTGGATCTCAGGCGACGGACTTGCAGCGCGCTGAAACACGGGTCGGGGATCCGAAGCTGGGTTGCCGATGGGCGAGAGTGATTTCGTAGCTGGTGACGGCTATTGAAGGGGATCTGTCTGGAGCTTCACCGTGGTCGTTGTTACCCGTAGTGGAATTAAATTGGGCACGAGGTGCGATAAATGGCTCTCGGGGAGGCTGAGCCAAGTACTGTAGGGCTAGAAGCTGAAGACTAGGGGGATGGGGAAGCGTTAGGAGCTAAAAGCCGTTAATGTCTTTACTGACGTGATAGGTACCATGGGGAAGGAATGCTAAGCAGGCTTTGCAGATGACGAAGAAATTACGGCTGGTGGTGGTGGTGGTGGTGGTGGTGGTGGTGGTGGAGGACGAGTTGTCAGGTTAGCAATGAAGGTGAGAAAACTGCTTAGGAATAGAGTGAGGTCAAGGTATGGTAAAAATACATGTAAGGGGAGGGGGGATCCAAGGTAAGCGACGACGATTGAGCACCGGTTAAACAGAGTCAGGGGTACACCGTCCTGAAGAGTCTGTGAGGCGGGGAGAAACAAGTAGTGTTAGACAGACGAGTACCGGTAGTTCGCAAGGTTCGTCATTGACAGGCAAGGGGATTGAGTTGACGTGAGTGGTGGTGGTGTCAGGTCAGAGATGCGGGTGCGTATGTGCGCAAGTGTGTACAGCTCATCGAACTAGGGATACACGTATTCGGGATTCGGGGCATGAAGGAAGAAGGCCTAGTTGCGATTGTGTGCTTGCTTACTTACTGCGTGGCGCGGGGCACGAAGGGGGGGAGAGATTTAGGCGGCGGCGGCGGCGGCGGCGGTCAAGTGAATGGACTCGGATGGGTTCCTAGAACTAGAGCTAAGGACCTCTCTCGGTTATGCGCCGGCGAGTCAACCGGACAAGCGATGGGACGGGGTTTGGCGGACGGGATGGAGATATGATGCGTGTGTTGTGGGGGCTGGGTTAAGAGTGTGTGGGTGTGTGCGTGTTGAAGGTGAAGGCGGTAGGATGTGTTGAGGGGCGGATGTCATCCTTAATCCGATTGTTGACGTAGCTATGAGAGCTGAGCATCTCTGAAAAGGCACAATTTGGGGAAATAGGCTTGACGAGAGTTGAACAGAACCCCTTCTTTCGCTATCGAGAGACATTAGGGTAGGGATAGATAGGCTTTCGGGTTGGACCCTCTTCTAATTCCTTTAGGGACTCCTAGTGAGAATGAGAGAGAGACAAAAGTTACGAAGGGTGCAGCAGTAATAGTGGCTGTGTCGTCCAATCGATCACTTGAGCCATCGCTGCGGGCGGTGAGGAGGAACCCAACCCCGGGGTTATCGGGGTTCTCGGTTGCTGCCAATCAATCCCGGACATACGCTACTACCCGTTCATTGTCCATCGTCCAGCCACCTTGATGATTGCCTGAACCTCGCCTCACAAGGAATGTGCCGTGCCGACCTGGTTCTAATGGGCCGTTGGTGTATACAGTAAGGGAGTGCCGAGGCTGATAGACGACACACGTGTTGGTGTTACGGGTTTGAAACGCTTCTTCGAAGCCTCTTCCATATCAGAGGCCATTCCTGGGTAATTAGCTAGCAGCATAGCTCTAGAGGCTGGGTGGTGGCCATCACAAAGGATGCAGGCCCGGGAGCCCTAGTCAAGAGATCACCCGCTAATTGAATCCTGCATCTTGCATTGCAGGCAGAAGCGCTGGCAGCGTCTCTCTTTTGAACTACTACGTCGGTAGGCAGCTACTGGGTATCCGTATCCCAGGCTGCATTGGTGGCTCGCAAACAAGCCACGCAACCACTTCAGCGCTGGCTCGCGTGTCCAGTGCCCTCGTTTGGAGGTGAGCGACAGCTATTGCCGGGGGGGAGGCAGAGGTCTCTACGGAGTTGGGCTGCGCTAACTGGCGTGGCCTGCTGTTGTGTTATGCGTTGCTAGACGTTGCAGCAACTGACCTGTCAGCTTCTTCTTCCGAAGCCAAGGAGGGCGGTTGGAGAATCATTCTTGGGATTTTTACTGACAACCCAAGAGCAAAAATGTCTGTTGTTTTTGAGGGCGTCGTCATCTCCAAAAACCTGTTACTCCTCCTCACCCAAGCTCCGAATGGCCTGTTGGCTTGAAGCAGAAGTAAAAGTAATCAACCTGCTCTTTCCTATCAAGTGGGTTCGGCTGTATATTGCCCGTAACAAACAAAGAGTTGTGGGTTTTGGTTGAATGGTATATGCTATCAAAGATACAGCGCAATCTCGTATGGAAATTGACTAACGAGCCTGACCTCCCTCAAGATGTGAAGATGTTTCTTGGTTCTGTCACTACTTGACGCCTGCCCCACTTCCGTGCTGTTCTTTCAAGAGACCGCGGGCAGCGACTGCCTTTGCTGCGGATGTGACCTCACCTCACCCCACCAGAGCCTTAAAGGCAGCTACCCCGCCATCGGCGGTCTACACGGCGAGCCCATTCCTCCTCCTGCAAAACAAGACCAACCACAAAAACGCAGCTTTTCGTTGGCATCGCGACGAAATACATAGTCCCTCGAACTCAGCTACCATAGCAGTCGCATCTAGGATATTTCCAAAGGTCCTCACTTTGCTCAACGACGGCCTGAAGCTCCAGACCCGCTACCGACCCACCAATTACTCTGCCCATCAAGAGCTCCCAACCTTGAGGGACACCAGCAAAGCTTCCCAACTCCTCCAACATCGCCCATCATGGCCAGCAAGCGCATCGCAAAGGTATGCCGCTCACCCCCTATACTCCCATTCATCGCCTCCCCTCGACCTTTCCTTGTCTTGCTCTCCAGTCTCCTCCCTCCAGCCCCAAATCAAATCAAACGAAACTAACCGCCACAACCAACTACCAGGAGCTCACCGAGATCACCGCCTCCCCTCCCGAGGGCATGGCCGTCTCCCTCGCCCGCGACGCCGACCTGCACACCTGGCACGTTACCATCGCCGGCCCCGAAAACAGCCCCTACGCCGGCGGCCTCTTTGCCGTCATCGTCGACCTGCCCCGGGACTACCCCTTCAAGGCCCCCGTCGTCAAGTTCGCCACCCGCATCTACCACCCCAACATCACGAATGACGCCGCCGGCAACATCTGCATGGGCATGCTCAAGTCCGAGAATTGGAAGCCCGCCACCAAGCTGGCCGCTGTGCTCGAGGCCCTCCGCAGCCTCCTCGCCGAGCCCCAGCCCGACGACCCCCTCGAGGCCCGCATTGCCGATGAGTACAAGAACAACCGCCCCGAGTTCGAGAAGCAGGCCAAGCAGTATGTCACCCGCTACGCATCTGGAACACCCAACTTTTCCGTCGCCGAGCCCGCTGCCACCGGCACCAAATGAGAATCCCCCCTTACCTGTCCAATGCCAGTGAAAGTGGAACGGGCCTTGGGGCCATGGATGGAGCAACGATACCACAGAAACACATGTCGGACATGGATCGGACGGTTCGAGCAGGAGCACACAGGGAATTCAACCAAAAACGGCGGCGTTTCGATTCTTGAAAACGGCGAGCATTACCGGCGTTTGGATGGGTCAGGCGGGTAGAAGGGGATCTCAGATACTTCAGCCCTCGTGACCTTGGAAGATTTTTTTTTTTTCCCCTCAAGTTTCGTACAGACGCTTCGAGCGTACAATAGTGTGGCAGTGGCCACTCGGGTTTGGACGGCATCGTTAGAGAGCTGCCCGCAACGATAGAATTACAGGCAGGCACTATATGTTCTGTCGCGGGATGGACAGTGTTTTTGGGACAGGTTTCAGACTAGATTGCTACAGAACCCCCAAATTCGAGGTTCAGTTACAATCACCAGAGGTCGCATACTCTCGTTCCCGGCATTGTGACCGACAGCCCGACCGCCTCACGATTTCAGTATATTGTTCCCCTAGCGAGCGCAAAGCGTGGTTGATCTACGGTCCTGGACAGCAAAAAGAAGAATTTAAGCCTTTGATAAATGCTTCATGGAATCCATCTACCTCTTCTACAACTTGACGAGACATTGCTAATTGGTTCCAATCAGGCAACCAATCTTTGTCACACACCTCTTGGTAACCCCACCAGAATTCCAAAACTGCTCGAGGGGAAGGTGGCGGCCGTGCCCTCTTCTTAAATGATATCCGTTCTTCTTTTCGCTCGCCAATGCCAAGTGTGCCGCATGCCATGTAGTCATTACCATAAAATGCAACCCCCCCCCTTACAAACGCCGTGGCTCAATGCATGCATTCAACTTTCTGCCTCTTCCTGTGTGGTTTCCGTTCCGAAATCACATCACCTCCGCTGGTCTACCCGACTTCCTGCGTCCAAAGAGGGTGCCTTTTCTCCGGACCTCTCCTTCGCCTTCAGTAGCGTTACCATTGGCTGCCGCACCACTAGTGTATGTTGCCGCCCGTTGATGTTCCGTCTGGACCTTGACCCGCCTCTCCTCCCGCTCGGTGTCAATCGTAACCTGGCTAATGTGGCCGAATCCGTTACGACGCTTGAAGCAGGCTTCCATGAGGGCGTTCGCGTCCAACAGGCGACGAGGCATTGCTTGGATAACGGAAAACATCTCCATGGGGTCTGAGATGGACCGGACCTCGGCTTCGCCTAGTTTGAAGATGGCCAGGGCAATGCGGAATAGCGTCTTGGACCCTTCATAAAAGATGACGTCCCAAACGCGAAGCGTACTCTCAATTGGCAGAGTGCCGATGAAGCAGCTCATGAACCAGGCCGTCATGCAGAGCGTAATAGGAGGAAGTCGGTTGGACGAGATGCTCGGCTGGTTTTTTCTCTTCGACCTTGGCTTCTTTATGGGTTTTGCCGGCCGAGCCGCATTCGGGTCAGCTTCCATGTCGTCGCCAATCTTCGCCCAAACGGCAGGCATGGACTCTCTGATGGCGTTCATCAAGACGCCGAGATCCACCTTGGAACCTTCAAGGCTCATTTCGTGCGTGCCGGGCAGGTACACACGGGTGATGACATTCAGAAGCCAGAAGGCCTTCTCTTCCGAGTCCATGAACAGGAGCAGCAGACCGGCCAAGAAGTTGAGACTCTGACAGTAGCCGATCCGGGGGTTGTAAATGGAGAAGGCATGCAGCACTCGCCTGAGAGACGAGATGATTTCAGGCTCGTCCTTCTCGTCCTGCGTTGACTCGCCCTCCCGCGTAGGCTCCGTGTTGGGCTTCGATGCCATGTTTGCCGGCTTGAACTTTACATTATCAGGAAACGTCCTGTGAAGGTCCCGTTCGATGGCCTCGACATCAACGTCTTTGGCCTTCTTTTGCAATAATGTGTCATAGAGGCCTGCGTGCTTCGCCAAGATGGCAGGGCCACCTGCATAGTAGAACCAGGCCGCCCCTCTCCACTCAGGGGGGATACCTTTGCGAACAAACCGCTTGGCCTTCGCACTATGGGGAGGAAATCGTTCAGGGCGGTCAGTGATGAGCTCATTCTCTCGCATAAAGGCTGTCCACTTCTTCCGCCGCCTCTCGAGATATTCCGAGTAGCCTTTGTCCCAGGCGTCGTACTGCTGTCTGGTAATATACTGGTTGGCCTTTTTGAAACCGTACCGGTCTCGCGTTCCAGGTTCTTCGATTTCGACTGGCTCGGGCTCCACGGCCGTCTGTGTAGAGGAGGCCGAGGGACTGTCCATGTGCGGTGATACGGTCGGCGCGTCGTTTTGAAGCGATTTGGCAGAGTCCCGCTTCTCGTTCTCGTCCTTCTCGCCCTTCATGTCTTTTTCATCCTGCTTCTGATCGTCATCGGGCAAGCTAACCTCTGTTGGCACAGAGGCCGGGTACCCAGAGATTTTGAACATGTCCGTCGAATCTCGGACAATCGTGTCGGAAGTCGGGACAGCTAAAGAGTCGGCGTGCACTGGTCGTGGTTCGCTCAGTGCCTCCAGCATTCTGGTGTTCCGCTTGGTGATCTCGGCGGCCGGGACCGGACGAACGTCGTCGTTGTCTTCGGGGCTCGAGTCGTCTCGGAAGCCCTTCTCGTACATACCCATGACATCGTCGACACTAAGCTCCTCCCCGTTAGCGTACAGCGATGGGATTGAGCTGTTCTTGGTGAGAACACTGCTTCTTTCCGTCACGTACGTTCCCTGTGCACTCGAGGCAGTCGTTTGAGATCGGTAACTCGACCTCATCTCGTCTTCTCCACTCATCCACGGCGCCTCGCGCGTGTATGCTGACAAGCCGGAACTCGCGCTGTCGACACGGTCGTACGCCAGTGGGGGGCGGGCGAGGCCTGACGGAGGCGGTGCACTTCGCAAACGAGACGGTGCCCGGGGTTCGTAGTACTCGCCCCCTGCGGCCGGAAGCGACGCAAACGTCGAGGCCGACCTTGCAGAAGATCCGGAGTGACCTCGTGGCCGCGGCCAGGCATATTGATGCGAGTTGGGGTCAGAGCGCGGTTCTGAAGGAGACTGATTGGCTCGTGAGCGGTAGGAGTCCTGAAGGGGCTGCTTAATGCTAGGCCCTCTTGGACGGGAGAAATTGTCGACCTGCATGGTGTCTATCAAGGAAGGGCTGTCGTCGTCGTGGGGAAACGGGGATTTTATCGAGCGAGCAACGGCTCTGCTGGTCCATTCGTCTGCACTCAAGTCGTCTTCAGGGTCATGGCTCGGACTCGGAGCCAGCGAGCGGAACGTAGGCGAGGATGGGTAATGTCGGTCGGAATCATAGGGAGTACGTCGAGGAGAGAGCGGTTGCACGTGGGCGTCGGCCGAGTTTTGTTGCATTACAAAATTGCTCGAGTTGTTGGCCAACGAGTCCCAGCGCAGAGGAGACGTGGGCAAGGGTTGTGAGTGGGCTGCTGGGAAGTCGGATTCGGGACGCTCTGGAACGTCGGAAGTTGGGATAGGTTTCGGATGGGGCCGCCTCGAAGCATAAATACCGAACTGGCGACGCTTCATGCTGCCCCGACGGTTGATGCCGGGGTCCTGGTCCGCCATAGCTCCCGAGGAAATCTGGGCGTCAGGCTGGACAGAATCCGCTGCCACGGCCATGAGGGTCATGTCGATTGCTACCCTCTGGCCGTTATATGGCAGCGGCAAACACTACTCAAGCAACTGTACTGGCGCAGAACGCGTTGAGAATGGTTGTTTTTTCTTCTTCTTTGGCAGGTATCTGCCGCCAAGTGTATATGTGACGGGTGTTACAACAGCGTGTTCAAGTGACGGTGGTGCAGGGTAGGGTGTTCAAGGTCGTTCCTGACGATACCATTGCGGCATATGCATGAACCTTGCAATGCGTCTGGAAGCAACCTAGTTGCAGTCAGAGCGACGAGCAATGGATGTTGGCCAGGCGGAGTGGGCTCAATGACCGTTTGCTGCTGAAGGCCAGGATGCAGTAAGCTGAAGAACGGTTGGTGAGAAAATGGCGACAAGCAGATTGCGTCGAGCAAGGAATGCCGGGTTTCCAGCGTCACAGAGCGTGGGAGACGAAGTGGCACCCTGACGGCGGCTTGTGCGCACGCGCATGCAAACTAGGGGTTGGATGTAAGGGGTGAAGCTGTAAGTGAAAGATCGGCCGACAGGTGAGTCAATGAGCGTCGTCTGAGATGGTTGGTCGGTTGAGACTTGCGAAACAAGAGACGCAGAGGAGTCGGGGACGGCCCAGACAGACAGGGTGCAGATGCAGGAGGGTCGTCTTGTGGTCGTCAAGAAGAAAAAGGGAGCGGGATCCGGCTGGTGCGGCGTAGTATTGTGGTGGCAGTTTCCGGGCCTCCAGCCTCTACTCGGCCAAGGAAAATTGGATTGGATGGGCCAAAGTAGCGGTCGGTGGTTGGCAGATGGTAGGAGTGTCTTTATGGGGGGATGGACCTGTTGTCGCAGATGAAGATACTAAAACTGAAGCGAGCGTTTGGACCCAGATGGGGGCGGCGTCGTCATTGGCTCAAGCTCGGGACGTGCCAACTAGGCAAAAACAGCAAGCGATACACGTCTTCTTCAGTCGGCAAGCTGAAGGACAGGGCTATAAGCACAGGACGTCTCTCTTCTGATTCTGCTTCTTGTTCTTTGTCTTCTGTTTTCGTGATCTGGAGCAGGTATGAGGGCGGATTTGGCATGTGCGGCGTTCGCCAAGTTTTCCGAAATGTCTCGGAAACGAATACGGTAGGCGGTTGACTCGTGCGTCAGATGTTTGGATGCCGCTGCCACGAGGCAGAAGAAAGGATGGCTGCGGGCGGATGTTTGGGAGGCCGGCTGATTGGCTACCTTTTGACAGGCGGATCGTTGCAGGACCGTGCGGTCAGATTGCAAAGGAGCAGGTTGTGGTTGAGAGTGGCCGAGCGAAGGAGGTAGTGTTGGTCGTGGTTGTTGTTATTGTTGTGGTTGTTGTTGTTGTTGTTGTTTTCCTACAAG